AAAAAAAAAAAATGCAGACATGAGTTTATTTATTGTGCTGTGCGACACTGGTAAAAAACCCATTTCTCCTTGGCCAGGATCGATGACAACGATGGGGAGTTTCTCTTGATAGAAGCAGCTGATTTTCTCCCAAAGTGGCTGAATCCTGAGAACAGTGACAACAGGGTGAGTAAAACTTCTGTACCAGTTGGCAAGTGGCTCACAATGGCCTTTTACTTACGACTTTTCTCTTGCACCTCTATCTAGCCAAGCGGCCTGACTGCCACTGAAGATCCAGAGTGCTCTCTATCCCTTACTAACGAAGAAGCTTCTGGTCAGGGCTCAAGACTTGTTTTAATTAACAGCATGTTTTTTTCAGCACAGTCTGTTTTCATTATGGTTTTGATGAGCTGCTTTATGCTTGTTGTGGATGTTGAATGAGAGACTTGACCACTGGAAACCTCTGATACTCCGTTCCGCTCTGTGTGCGCTTGCAGAATGCGAGTCTGTCCTGAGAAACTGCTGTAGGGATATCTGGAAATTGTTAGAGGTATCAAGTGGTTCTTCTAGAATTGGTTTGTTGATGGAAGGAACAAAGAGAACGTTCTTATACTAGTATGTTCTTGTACTAATGGCAAAACTATGGCAACTATGGCAAAAATATGGAGACTGCAGACCTGCCTGCTAGGCTGTGAGTGTGTGTTGTTCAGCTAGATCTGACTCTTGCACATAAATCATTCTTTAAGAGTTGTTCCATAATGCAGAGCTGACTGAACTTTTTAAACTTGCTACTCATGGTGGCAAATGTGAAGGCAGTGAAGCTGTCGTGCTATTGATTGATCTATAAAATCAGTAAGTTTGGCCAGCTTTCCATTTGCTAGGTTATTGGAGTGCAGGGAAAGCTTGGGTAACGTGGGAACTATGGAACGTATTTGGCAGTGTAATACAAACATACCATTGCTCTCCTCAGGAGCACTCTTGGATCCACCTGAGCTTTCCAGCTCTGCTATGGCCACTTGGATTTTTTCTGCCATATTCTTGAGTGCTCAGGCATGAGGGTTTGCTGCCCTCAGACTGGGGAATGCTCAAGACTGGAGTGTTGCTGACTCTACAAGGAGACAGGCTGGGTCTGGCATAGGTGAATTAATGAGCGGACTCCTTCACCCAGAGTCTGCAGCCGGTTCTCCTCGCTGTGGGTGATTGCTGGTAGCTACGTCACTGAGTTTCTTGGCAACGGATTTAAACGGAAAGAACTTACTTTTTCATTAGCAAAGATTTGTTTAATTTTTTTTTCCTACCACAAGATTCTTAAAAAGAAAAGGGGTGGAACACAACACAAAAATTAATTGCAAGCCTGTATGTGGACTATCAGCACTATATTTTCCTTCCGTTTGAAGGAACGGATGGAGTGAGAGCGTTGATAATGTTACATTCAGTTTTTTTCTTAGGATCAGGAACCAACAGAGGTCACTTGTAGCCTCTGAAATAATGCTTTTTAGTCCCTGTCCCATTCTTCAGCAGTTAGGTTATGCTGTCTAATTCTCCTGAAGCAAATCTCTAGTTGAAGAGAAACTTTTGGTATTACTGTTACTAAGGAAACAAGATATGTTTGAGCAAATTCATCGCAGTTAAAATAGGGGTTTTTATTTACTAGTTGAATCATGATCTCTGGCATCTATATTTACCCTATCTCCCATTTAAAAAAAAAAAAAAGAAAAAAAACCCCAGCTGTTTCTCTCTTATTTTTCTATTTGTACTTCAGTATTTTCTGTGTTTAAACAAATACATTCATATATGAAATGAAATTTTGCATTGTTTAGTGTATGACTGTTCTTATCCCGCCTGATGAGAATGTTACTGTCTGTCAGGTGTTCTTTTACAAAGGAGAACTGCACATCATTCCGCTGTCAGAGACTCACGAGCAGGAAGGTGACGTATCTGCTGCCAGTCCAACAATCTCGCAGGCATTAATGCTGTTATCCCGCCGTTCGGAGGAGTTCCTGGCCGCAGAACCCATTAGAACAGCAGTGTATAAACGCATCAGTGGGTATGTGGGTGTTTTATTTTGGTCTTCTGCAACAATAAGTTGTGATTCTGGGCTGTCTGGGGTACTTTCTTGTAGTCAATCGTTTTCCTGTTAGATGTGATAAAGTTGCTTCCTTTTCAGAAACCACCAGCTAGAGTTTTTTCTGTGGCATTCTTCTAAAGAGGGGGACCAATGTCCTGTAGGCTGTACTGTGATCTGCAGGCTCTAAAAGTGATTCGCTGCTATGATGCCACACCTGACAATGACAAGAGTTATCCTTCCTTCACATCCTTCTTGTACTGAAAAATCTGAAAGTTCTGTGAGCCCTTAGGAGCCCTTTGCGGGGGCAGAAAGAGTTGCAAACTAAAATGTAGAACTAGCACGCTTTTTGGAGCATCAGCCTGTCACAGGTGTGTTTTTTTTTGCAAGGATTTGACAGCGCGAGCCAGATGACTTCTACTCTTGGTGTGGTGAAGGATACTGTATAGCTGGACATGTTGGTCAAGTTCACAGTGATTCATCTTACCAATGTGGGGATTAAATTTGTATTAGCCATGTATATTTGTATATATGTATATATATATAAACAGACATTCCAGGTGTTAGGTTAGCTGAGCTTTAACTTTAGTTTGGAATACTATTCTGGCACTTGGCCCATAATATAGATTAATATTAAAGTGAAAATGGGAATAATAATTAAAAAGGAGTGGTTTGGGCTTGCAGTACACTTAATACACTATGTTGCTATTGTACGATACAGGTATCCTGAGAAAATTCAGGCCTCGTTTCACCGAGCCCACTGCTACCTTCCGGCAGGCATTGCGGCAGTGCTGAGGCAGCGCCCTTCGTTGGTGGCTGCAGCAGTCCAGGCCTTTTACCTGCGAGATCCTGTAGATTTACGAGCATGTCGCTCTTTTCGAAATTTCCCTCCAGACGAGCGTGTGATGACTGTAGTAAGTGATCCTTCTAATGCAACATGTCACTTAATTAGGTTCTGTAGCTGATGGAGGTTCTGTGGTCAAGTGATATAAATATGTGGATTTAATTTTTAAAATAGCATGTTTTCTGATTTATTTTTTTCTTTTGACGCTAGACATGAATTTCCAGTTTGTTACGTTAATAGCTTTTTTGCCTTCAGATTGACATGGCTGGACTTTCAAATGGCTAATCATGAGATGAGTGCTTCTGAAATCAGAGGTTACTGCTAATAGTTCCTCTGCTGAAGTGCTTGCTAAGTAAATTGATCTAGTTCTGTGATCACAGCGTTTGACAGCACTGCCAGCCAACATAAGGAGTTGCTCTTAACTACCCCTAGCTGTTCATTCCAAGGCTTTTCATCTTCTCAGCTGTGCTTACACAGCTCTGTGAAAGCTATTTCATGAAGTGTTTTATGAGCATTGTCCAAACAGTATTGTATCTGATACGTTTGCATTACAGAGTTATACCCCTAGACTCCTGAAAATAAGCTTTGGAGTCAAATCTTAGACTTCTAGACTGTTTTTGAAATCTCAGCTTTGGTTTCATTAATTGAAAAGAGCCCTTACATTTTTCAAAATATACCTTGTTGGCATGAATACTGAGGATTTTTTTAATGTATTTAGACTGAATTAAGTTCATGTTTATTTAGACATGTCAACTTGGAATATACTTTGTAAGATCTGAAAAGCAACATATCTTAGGCAAATGTATCTAAGATGTATTTTGAATACAATCTCAGGTATTGTCTGTAGTATGGGTGCTTTAAAACAAAATTTAGATGAGACTGGTGGAAAGTTGATGCCTGTACACAACACAGTCACACTGCAGTAAGTGTTTTTCTTTTGCTCTGGCTTTTTCAGGTTACTTTCACAAAGTGTTTATATGCACAGCTGGTGCAGCAGAAGTTTGTTCCGGATAGACGCAGTGGATACACACTGCCCCTCCCATCTCACCCTCAGTACAAAGCCTATGAACTGGGCATGAAACTGGTAATTATTTTTTATGTGTTTTGTACTTGGTCTTTAGTTTGCTTGTTTACGTATGTCCGAGAAATTACTCTTTGCTTGTAAGTTGCCTGCTTGTACAGAAAAATGCGAGCAAATTCGCAGTTAACCATTTTTCTGGAAGTACAATATCATGGGAGTTTTCTTTTACAGAATAGAGCACTCTTGTACTTCCATGGATTATAAATACAGGTAAAGTCGTCATGCTTATGTGAGGAGTAGCTTGTGCACTGCAGATCTGTCTTCTAGGTTGCTTTGCCCATGTAGAGAAACTTTGCAAAGTCAAAATGATCCATTATTGCTGCAGAAAGACAGATTCCAACTTCCAAAGCGAGATACTGCTGCCTGACATATAATTGGGTTTGGCACCTACTTCTCAAATGGCAGCATCAGGAGCTCGATGATAGTTCTTTATGCAGACATTTAAAGGTGCACTTAAATTTGTCACATCTTGAGAACCTCTTCTTGTTGCCTCTCTTATACAGGCTCATGGCTTTGAAATTTTGTGCTCCAAGTGCAGTAAAGTATCTCCTGATTCCAAGAGAAATGTGTTAAGCGGTCCCCTGTGGGAGAGATTCCTCAGCAGCCTGAAGGAAAAAAATTATTTCAAGGTGAAGTAGTGTGTCTGTGTGTCTTTTAACATTCCAAGAAAAACATGGTTTAGCTCTTAAACTTGTGTAAGTAGTTACAGCAGGGCAAGAAATCTAATGCTTCTGTCTATGGAAAATGAATGAATGTCTTTAAAGGATATATGTGCAGTTTGTTCCCCTCTGAAATTAATTCATTTCTTTTGGAAATTAAGAAGGAAAAAGCAGGATTTGGGGATGAATTGATTTCATCTAAAGAAAGAGGAAATACACTTGAATAAAGGAAACCACAATATGGTTGTGTGTCAGTATAACTGTTTTCACTGTTTTACATTTCATTTGCATGCCTCTAGAATTAAATATTCTTAAAGATCTGTACTTAACACCCATGGACCTATCTGGGCCCGTGTAAGTGTGTTTTTTGTCTGTGTGGGTTTTGTGGGTTTTGTTTGTTTTTTTCGGTTTTTTTAAAGATGCCTTTGACTTATTTGAAGTTTATAAATTGGACATAAATTGACTACTTGTTTGAAGGTTATAAAATTGGACAACTCTATCGGAATGCTTAGGTCAATATCTTTTAAATGTAGGAAAAAGGGAATATTCTTACGGTACTGCAATGCCACTTCTGTGGATAGTTCCCAAACACCAAGAGATACATTCACAGTTCCTGTACAATTGTAACCTGGGCATGGTAAATCCACTGTGTTGTGGGAATCATAGTATTGTCTTTGATTGTTTTTAGTGTACACCATATGATACTGCAGCATAAGACTTCAATTTGTATTTGACTGTGAAAACACCTTATGCCCGTTTCCTGTATTCTGTTCCAAGTATACATGGCAAAGCAGTATTACTTGTTTTGATTTTCTCAGGACTAAATTTCTGTGTGACAAATCGTCATCGTTATGAAGCCTGACTGTAAAAAGGAAGGGGAGGGAGAATTGTTTATTCATACTTGTGACTTGCATTAAATAGGGAGAAATGGAAGGATCTGCTAAGTACTTGGAACTGTTGCATATGGCAGAAGATTACTTCCAGCAATCTGTTACCAAGCCAGGAAGGTAAGAGCTACTTGAAATTCATGAGTAATCATACACAGTACCTACAAGTACTTTAACTTACCGTTTTTAATACTTGTTACAAAAAAACTGAATCCTTTTCTCCATTGTACACTTAACATAGGTGCTGTGGCTAGGACATATGGGTATTAATTCCTCCAGAATACTCTTTACTAATAGAAGTTATTGCTTGAGTAACTATTTATCTTGGTTTTGTAAAATGCTAAGCTATTCCAAGTGGGTTAAGAGGTGACTGAAAAGCATCATTTGGTTGGTTGGCTATAGAAAGTGTTTAGAAGTTTCATTGAAAAGCAATCCCAGTGAATAATAAATACGGAGTAATCTGCCCCCTTTACTCAAGCCAGGCAGCTGGCTGTAGATTTCTCCAAAAGATCAAATCCAAAAAATAAATCATTACAAAAATATCTGAGGGTTTGCCAGCTTATAGTATCTTGACTGTTACTTGCTTGAATTTCCAGTCTGTGCTCCTTGGGATCTGGCAATCCTAATGTTTACCAAGACAAAATAAATACAAAGAACAAAGGAAACATGAGAAGTGGGCTTTGGAGCCATCAACAAGGAATTACAGTAATTGATTGTGTCTTGTTGGCTAATACTATCTGTGTAGTATTCTGGTACTTCCCCCAAATTCAGTTATCTTTTTGACATATTTGCACAGAAGGAATAATGAGGAACTTGAGTGGAAACCTGCATGTAGAGTGTGTGATGCCATTGGCATTGTAATGCTAGTAAAAATCCATTTCAGTAAATTGAGTTTTTTTCTTCTAGCTCTGTTGAAGTGAGCCCAGGTGATGAAATCTTGACATTGCTACAGACAACAACCATTGATTTGAAGGAATTTAAGAGAGAAGCAGCTTGTCTTCCTCCAGAGGATGGTGAGCAGGATGGGGGGGTGGACTCTTCCTATCACAAATTATTATTTGTGGGGGGGAGAGGGTGAATGTTCACAGCAATGTACCAGTCTGTATCTACATAGTTTGTCTCCTGTCCTGTGACTGCTAGAGGTGTTATTCATGGGCCGTCATTTAAGATTGAGGCAGCCAGTTCATTTGTATAAGCCACAAAGCTTGGGGCTGTGAATTGGCAAAATACGCAGTCCAGTTTCTGTTTGATACCAAGAGATCCGTAACACCATGCACACTTACACCGGCTCAAGTACTTTGTGTCAACTGTCTACCAGACAGAAAGTATTTAAATATTTTATAATAATAAACCGATTCCAATACTGACAATACAAAGTTAATTATTATCTGGTCTACTCTGATGGCCAACGTAAGACCAGCATAAACTTTATATAATAGGGTTTTTTTCCACTCATTTGACAGAAATGTAGTTGTTGCCAGTGTGCAGTACAGGTCACATCTGTATTTCTGGATGATGCAGTAGCACACAGATCCAACATTCAGTGTTAATGACCATAGCTGAAGATTGGATTGGCTCTCCCTTTATAGCGTAAGCCTTTTCTTCCTTCATTTAGTGGCAAAAGGATTATCTGTGACTAGAACAATATCTGCTAGCTTGAAGCTGCATATAAAGCAGAGTTGTAAAGTACTAAAACAAAATCTGAACTCTATTTTTCTCAGCCTCTCACTGCCTTATACCCCGTGTTACCCAGTATTGGCATGAAAACTTAATAGTACAAAAGTAAACTACAAAATGCTAGCAGTAGTCTCAACCATCTGGATTGGGACTTGTGGTCTAACAGACTTGTGCAGAGTGACAAGTATGTCCTATATTCTTTCAGATGACAGTTGGCTGGAGATTACACCAGATGATCTAGATCAGATGCTGAAGGAGGCAAGAAATGAGTCCCTTCCTTCCTCAAATGAGGAAGAGCAGAAATATGACTTGGAAGCAGTTGCTGAAAGTATGAAGGCTTTTGTATCCAAAGTCTCAACACATGAAGGAGCAGAAATGCCATGGTAGTAGTATTTTTAAGTTCGGTGTCTGGTGTGGAATGTGTTTTCATTCTGCCGCAGCCCTTTGGTTGATTCTCTAATGCAGAGAATCAAAGTTTGAAAGTGTTCTACTTAGCAGAGGCCTGAAACAAACCATGTTAGTAGTGAATATGTAGTTGCTTTTAAACCAACTTGGTGACCACTCTGACACTGGTGGAAGTAAAAATGCTGGAAGTTGCACTCTTTTCCAGCACTCTTACTTAGTTTGGTTTTGTGGTTTTTAAAATTTTTTTAACCCTTCTAAGTTGAAGGCTTACTGTTGTTCGTTACCATAGTTCTTAACATGAAGATGTTACTGAAATGTACATCTCAAGTTCATTTGTGCTGAAATTCTTCTACCATGAAGGACTAACTATTCAGACTGCTAAGGTGCTTCTGATGAGGCTGTGCAGAAACAAAAATTAAACTTAAGTTGAGGGAATCTGTCTCTCTGAATTAAGACTGTTGATTTTTGTGGTACAGCTGTGTTTAAATTTCCTGTAGATTAATATTTTGAATATACTGGGCCTGTTTTTGCACTACCGCAGCACATACTGTACACCTAGAAGCAGGAGAAAAGAAACACTGTGGATCCCTCTCATTGTTCCCAACAGTGGAAGAAATGTGCTAACTGGAGATACTTAACTATTTAGACAACAGCAGAATGCCACTAGATTAATTGTTGGAGTTAAGAAAGTGTGTGTGAATGTTGTGTGGACCGGCCTTTAATTTTAAAAAACAAAAGGGTTAGGTAGTAGCATATTATCCAGGTTCTTTTTAATAGCTTTAATACTGAGAAAATAATGCTGTGTAAGCTGTATCAAGCGTATAGGGGTCTACTCAATTTATGCTCTTAACTGTTTGATTCTTTTTAATTAGTGTTAGTGTCAATGTCTGAGTTACAATGTAGCTTTTTTTAGTTATTTAAAGAATAAAAAACAAAAACCCAACAAAAAAAAAGGCAAACCACTGAGCCTTAAGAGAGACCAGAAGGAAGCCTTTAGTGTTCTTTCTAGGCAGGAGACCACAGAGATTCTCAGCTTTTTAAATCTTTGTCTAAGGTATAACACCACCACTTTGTTCCAGAAGGATTTAGGCATGGTTATTTTGGTTGTCTTTAGTGTGATTTTTGTTTGACCACGACAAGCAAAGTTGTTGGTTTTATTTTCTCTTTCATGCCAGGAATTCCTCCACTTGCTGGTTCATTTCTAATTCATACAGGCCTCAGTCTTCTAAGCACTTCCAAGACCGTCAGTTTGAATGTCCCAACTTTAATCTAGGCTTGAGAGAAATCAGTATGCCATATGGTTTATGCCTGTGTCAGGCTTATGCAAGCATAAAAACTTTATTTATTTAAAAATATTTTTATATTTCAGGTCATCTGATGAATCCCATGTTACCTTTGATGTAGATTCTTTTACAAAAGCATTAGACAGAATTTTAGGTGAGATTGCTTCTTTGTTTCTTTTGTCAAAATATCTCATGGTTATTTGGCTTCCCTGGGTTTCCTTATCACCCATGGGCACTGCGCTTATTGGTTTGCTATCAGTACTGACACAAAATAATACATAGGGGCAGACTCAGAAGAGCTAGATTCTGATGATCTGGATGAAGAGGAGGAGTTTGACTTCTCAGATGATGATGATGATGATGAAGACTTAGATGCTGAAAATCAAAGGCAAGACCAGAAGGTGTCGCCTAATGAGCTTATAGGCAGTCTCAAGTCATATATGAATGAGATGGACCGAGAACTGGCACATACCAATGTTGGTAAAAGTTTCACCACCCAAAAGAAAGCGGTAAGTATGCCTTGAGTTCTAGTTTGTAGCATAATAGTTTTGAGAGCTGTAGTAGGAAAGAGGAAATATGCTAAAATTGGTCATTCTGAGTAATGTGATCAAAAACTTCATGTGCTAACTAATTATTAAAAAAAAAAAAAAATCCCACGTGCAAGCAAAATGTGCTGCAGTTGCACCATGGTATATTTTTTTGAAAAAAAACTTAGCTAAGCTTTAACTTGCACATCGTTTCCAAGACTTAGTTTCATTTCCCTGTTTTACCCTGTTTTAGTAGTAAGGCAAGCAGCTGCAGCTTGACTTCTTGAGTTCCTGTAGCAGATTACTCCCATAGGAAACTGAGCCAGGACTCAGTAACCCTCTCTGTCCTTCTCTTGGAACTTAATCTGTATGATGGAAAGTGATGATTTTTAACTGGCATGAGCATTTGGTGACTAAATTCCTGTCTGTCAAGACAGTGTGGAACGTACTGAACTTTCTTGGCTGCAGAACTGTTTCCTTGTTTCTTTTCTCTTGTGGTTTGTCTCTTTTTGTTTTTTTTCTTTTTTTCTTTGTTTTTTTAAACCCGTTCATACAATTTGATAAAACTTTCTCTTTATACTTACTATAGGCAAGTTCTGTTAATGCAACTACATCTCAAAATGCCGGCCCTGATTCCGGAGCTGAAGATACTGAGTTGACACCAGTTGATGTGGATATGAACCTAGTAGCTAACCTGCTTGAATCCTATAGTGCCCAGTCTGGACTGGCAGGACCCACCTCTAACATTTTACAGAGCATGGGAGTGTATTTACCTGAAAATGCAGATTATGGTGGCTCTAATAAGGTAGCAACAGAATAAAACACTGTCTTAATTGAGACGACAGGGCTGATTGAGAAATGAAGCACAGAAAGACTAGCAGCATTTGGAAGGAAAGACAAAAGGTTTGAATTGAAAGCATTTTATGCATTAGTTATGTGTGACTTTAAAGATGCAAAGTGAATTTACCTGCAAAAGCCGTCTGGATACTATCCTGGATAGAAATTGGATTTTTCCAGTGCTAACGTATTTTCAGAAAACTGAAAAGTGATGCTGTGACTTGAATGAAACTTTTATTATAAAACCTGTCTTCAGTTTTCCAAATCAACAATGCAATTTGCCCTATTTCTAAAATGTCCTTTTATCCATTACTAGGCGGTTTCAATATCTGGAAAGCAGTTCATGTTCTGAAAATGCTCCTGCCTTCAGGGGGAGATGGAGGAATACCATATCATAGCAACAGTGTTCTCTTGTGGATTTGGGAACGCTGGTTAAATGTTCAGCACACACTTAATCGCTTTTCCAAAAGTACAATGCTTCATTGTAAGAACTTCTGATAATTACTGTAAGAATCTGTTCTTTATTAACCAGGAGGATTTGAAGAGCAATTGGATTGAATATGTAAATATTGGCTATACGTATTTTTTGAATTTATTTAAATAAAAGCAGAAATACAACTTGATTACTGGAGATTATTTTTTTTTTTCTTTGAAGGTATGCACAACTTCCTCAGTGCAGTATCGGAAGTTCTTGGAGTTAAAGCATTTTCATAATTGGGCATTTTTTGAATTCCGTTATTGCTGAATGTTGGTATCATGCCAGCAGTAGCTGTATACGAGCCCAGGCTGAACAATTTAGTTTTGTTTTTCAGTGAAAATGTAGCTGGAAGGTGTTCAGCATGGAATGAAAAATCTATTCTAGACATGAAGACTTAGTTTTAACAAGATAAATTTGAAATAAAATATGTAGAAATTCTTTTTACAGACAGCAAGAACGCAGTCCTGCCAGATCTGAATCGGTTTCTACAAGTCTTGTCTTTATTTTTTCTTCCACACAACAATTAATCAGGTGTCTTAAGTGGTAGAAGAGAAGCTTATTGGTTGAGTTTTTGGGTTTTGTTTGGTTGGTTTTTTTAAACATACTCAGAAAAATAGTATTCAATGATACAAAAGCCTAATTGATCCTGAAGGCATACCTAATTGCTTTTAAGAGGCTGAATAATAATAATAATGATATAAATTATTACTG